GTGAAGTATTTCCACTGGGATGAACTCCTCTGCTAATAACCACGAGGTTTATTCTCCCATCAGAACCAAACAACTCTTCCCTGGAAAGTTAGAATATTGTGGCTAACTTCTTCTAGCAGTGATCCGAAAGGAATGTCTCCACATAGCAAGCCTGGGCTGCATGGTGGCGCAGTGGTTAGCACTGTTGCCTCGCAGCACGAAGGTTGCAGGTTCGAAACTCGGCAGCGGCCTTCCTGCGTGGAGTTGCGTGTTCTCCCCATGCATGCGTGGGTTTCCTCCGGGTTCTCCGGTTTCCCCCACAGATCACAACATGCCCTATAGGTTATAAACTGTAAGTCGCTTTGGATAAAAGCGTCTGCTAAATAAATAAACATAAACAAAAGCCGAATTTTAGCTTAGCTGTCGAGCGGAAAGCCGGGACTAGAGGCGTCTGTGGGGAGCCTAACCTTTCATTTCAGCACACGCCATCCTTGAAGAGTCCCAAAAAACTGGTCTTATTTCTCCCTTCGGACGCTTTTCTTATCGTAGACTTCAAAGACACGTTTTCTCTCGCGACTCTCGGCCCTTTTCAACAGAACAGCAAGACGTGTCGCTCTGCTCAGAAACACCAACCAAGCCAGGAACGAGCACGGACGACGACGGCCTTGCATGAAAGCTTCACCAGAATAACTGAGTAATGTGGACCAATGGTAGAGATGTCCACCTGGAAGACAAAGGTTCTCCGCTCTGCATAACTACATAAAAAGAGGGGGTGTCTTTGCTCCATTTGTGTGAGCATCAGGGAAGCCGATGCCCTGATGAACCATGATGGATTGTTTATTGATATCAAGGACGTCACTACCATCAGCAACCAGATTACCAGTCAACCCCTGGTCTCCTTCCTCAGAGCTGAGGACGAGGCTGGGACATGTGGCTAAACACGTCTCAGCCTTGTCCTCTTCTCAGGAGGAGCAGGAACTTGTTGGAAGGTAACTAAAGGCTTTGCTGCTCTGAGTTAAAACAAGAGAATCAGCTGTGTGTGAGCAGGGACACGTAGAAAACATGCAGCCACTGTGGCCTTCAAGGACCAGGTTTACTCCCCGTTATTCAGTATAGAGGTTGGTCTGATTTCTTCTAATGTGAGCATGTTTAGGTACTCTATTATTACTGGTACTGTCTGCAGGTTAACACGCTGGAGAGTGTGTGTGTGTGTGTGTGTGTACTCGTCTATACATCAAAGTGAGGACCAATGACGAGCTTTTTACCGGCAAACTGAGGACATTTAGCTGGTCCACTTTGGTACAGCGTTACAGCTCTACTGGTTAGTTTTAGAGGTCTGGTGTGAATGAAGCTTTAGTTAGGGTTAGGGGTAGACTGGTTAGAGAATGTGTGTGTGTGTGTGTGTGTGTGTGTGTGTGTGTGTGTGTGTGTGTGTGTGTGTGTGTGTGTGAGCGGTGGGTTCTCACCCTTGACCTTCATGTCTGGTTAAACTCCTACGTGACCTACAGCTCCCAGTTTTCTTCACTAGAAACAACCTTTCCTTCAAATATTAAGCGTGTTTCCACCATTGGACCTTCAGGGTAATGTGGGCGGGACTTAGCGGCATTCACGCTTCTCCATTTCAGCTGGCCGTGTACAGGAAATGACATCAGCAGACTAAACAACTGGCCAAGGGCGTCAGTTTGTTTTCAGAATTGCTGGGGACAATAACCATACACTTGAGTGGGGTTTAAAAATTGCTGGGGACAATATAGGCTAGCACAGGGGTCGTCGGCTCTGTAGCCGCATGCGGCTCTTCCATCCATCTGATGCTCTGTGCTTGTAAAATAATGAATGGATATTTAAATAAAAAGCTTTATATTTTACTGCATTAATTTTACATCTGTAAGCTAATTCTAAATGTAAAGATTGTCTGCGTAAACCTGAACAGTTCCGACCCGGTCTTACTGTGAGACCGGGTTGACGCGTCACGCTTGTGCGTAATCATAGGCGCTTCCTGAGCTGAAGGATGTCAGATTCTGGGATTCTCCTCAGACGGCTCCTGGATGTGTCGCCACATTGGAGACAGGAACAAGCACTATTCAGCCAAAGTTTCATAATCAGGGAACATTTTCTAAGTGACAAGTCTCTCTGAGAGACCGGGTTTGGAAAACACTCGCTTCAGTCGGAGGAATCTTCCCGCATGCGCTCTGGTTCTGAGAGCCTGGATTTGTATTCTGAACAGTCTAAACATGTTTTTAAAAGAAACGTATGACAAAAGTGGTACCTGCTCAGTAAAACCACCAACCGGGTGAAAAATATCAAAATATTGTCGGCAGAGACGGGCTACAACTTCTGGATCATCTTTATATAAATCGTTTTATTGATTATCTTCCTATGAAAGATAACTTTGACGTACACGAGCGACCAGGCGCGTTGCAAGATTTTCAAAAGTGTGGGGGATGTTGTCTGTGCCTAAAATAATTTGATGTTATTCACCTTGTTAGTTTAATTTCCATAATAGCGGAGCAGGTGCGAATTTTAGACGCGTCACGCACGTCTCCGTTTTAAACATGTTTAAACTGTTCAGAATACAAATCCAGGCTCCGTCTCGTTAGATCGGTGTAACTAAAGTTTGTACTGAATGAAACTTTACATTAAACCATGTTGAAGAGAAAAGGATCCGATTAAATCATTTCCCCTCATTTACAGTCAGAAGTACAGTGCAGTGCGCGTGGCTCTGGGGTTAATCAGGTTTAGTTGTTTCTCTTTGCAACAATCTTCATAAGAAGGCAAAACAGTTAAATGGCAGGTTACAGATATTTATATTAGACTTTTATTTGACGGATAAACTCAAGGATGCTGGCTGTTTTGAAAGAATTACCCCAACGCACACTGACGCACACGGATGAGCTTGGAAAAATGTTCTTTTTATGAAATTATGAAACTTTGGCTGAACAGCGCTTTTTCCCGTCTCTAATATGGAGACGCATGACGCATCCAGTCTGAGGCAGAATAGCCTCTTCAGCTCAGAAAGCACCTGTAGAGACATTTGATCACGCACAAAGTTTTTGTGGAGCAGAAGTGGTCGGGCCACGGCAGGTGAAACGTTCCTAGCCTACATGAAGTGTAACATTAATATGTTACTGGACACGCTGGTCTGGTTGGTTAGACCAGTGTTGGAAGTGGAAAACACACACACACACACACACACACACACACACACACACACACACACACACACACACACACACACACACACACACACACACACACACACACACACACACCAATTAAAATAATGCTGATAGCGTGGACTAGAAGACAGGTGATGGTTTACGTATTTAAATGATGATCAGGCTGCTGTAAAATCTAATCTCCATCCACATCCAGACACAATGATCCTCTATTCTATTTGCTCTGCTCTTGTCTGGACTGATGTAGCTGACGGTGCGCGCGGGGCGCCTAGTGGCTGTGATGCACATTTTACGCATTTGGAGAGGTGGGCCGGATGCTTTGCTTTTACTGGAAGATGGTCCACTTAACGCACGGGTGTAGACTACATATTAATGACAAATGAATGAAAATTAAATTGTGAGTTTTTACTTCATATTTTAGAAATTTAAATGACGGGGGAACACATTTATGACGTCTTTTTAAACTAAATTTTCTAGCGCGACCTGCCTGCTTCACTTAAGTCACTGCTTATTAAGGTCCGTCCAAAATTACCGTGGCCCACCCAAAAATGAAAACCTGGCGCCGCGCCTGTTATAAACCTCTGCAAATTGTTGTTCTTCACGTTATCAAACTCAGACTTTGTACAGCTAATGTCAAGATGTAAAATTATGAATTCAGTCGAGCTCTTCCGTCCCTCCCTCTCCTGCTCTCCTGGAAACCCGACATCGGCTGCCAGAAGTGGAGGTGAAGAAGGAGATGAGGCAAACAGAGTGAGTGCGACATAAAGAAACCAGACTGGTGTGGAGGTGAGCAAAACAACTGGAAAAGTGTGGGCGTTGAATCCCCCACGGGTGCGATGTCCATGCGAGCGACCTGTACCGGCTGCTGTCACCTGGTTGTGAGCAGCGCTCTGCTGTCTGAGGGTAGGCCCCGCCCACAACGCTGCGGCTACTGCGGTGTTTTCTTTATTGTGGGAAACGGGTAATAATGGCTCTTTGATGGGAACAGGTTGCCGACCCCTGAGCTGGTAAAACAAAAATCCTCATCAGCAGGCTTTTTTGAAAGTGGGGGGGACACAGCTGCCAATCACAAATTTTGCCGGGGACATGTCCCCGGCGTCCCCGGTTAAACTGACGCCTATGCAACTGGCATTTGTAAAATTAGAAGAGTTTCTGGTGAAACAGAAGCAAATAAGTAGTGTTCACGCTGCTTTAAAGTTGCTGTTGCTAAACTCCCAACACCAGGAAACACAGCAGAACCCCCTTTTGGCTCAGCTCACCAAAAAGAGCCGGCTCTTTCGGCACCCTAGTGGCTCCTCAGATTTTCTGTGGCGTAGA